TTCAGTTTCCATGTGTTTGATTTTTTTTCCTTGCTTTTTTGTTGTTGATTTCTACTTTTATGGCTTTGTGGTCAGAAAAGATGCTTTGTAATATACTGATGCTTTGGGTTTTGTTAAGGCTTGCTTTATGGCTTAATATGTGGTCTATTCTGGAGAATGTTCCATGTGCGTTGGAAAAGAAAGTATACATGGCTGCTGTTGGGTGGAGTGTTCAGTATATGTCTGTGCGATATGTCTGTGAGATCAAGTTGGTTGATTGTAGCATTTAGATCTTCTGTGTCTTTGTTGAGCTTCTTTCTGGATGTTCTGTCCTTCACCGAAAGTGATGTATTGAAGTCTCCTACTACTATTGTGGAGCTGTCTATCTCTCATTTCAGTGCTGTTAGAATTTGTTTTATGTATTTTGGAGCCCTGTCATTGGGTGTGTACATATTTATTATAGTTTTGTTCTCCTGGTGTATTGACCCTTTAATCATTTTATAGTGTCCTTCTTTATCCTTTGTGGTGGATTTTCCTTTAAAGTCTATTTTGTCAGAGATGAATATTGCCACTCCTGCTCTTTTTTGAGTGTTGTTTGCTTGGTATATTCTTTCCATCCTTTGAGTTTTAGTTTGTTTGTGTCTTTAAGTCTAAGGTGTGTCTCGTGTAGGCAGCCTGTAGACGGATCGAGTTTTTTTATCCAATCTGCCACTCTCTGTCTCTTTATTGGTGTGTTTAGTCCATTTACATTCAGCATAATTATTGATAGGTATGAGTTTAGTGCTGTCATTTTGATGTCTTTTTTTGAGTGTTGTTCATAGTTTCTTTGTTCCACTTAATTTTCTGTGCTAAGTCGTTTTTCTTTATGTATTTTCTTTTCATCGTTTTCATTGTTGTTAATTTTGTGTTTACTGAATCTTTATATTTTTCTAGTTTTTTATTTTGACGTGTAGGATTTTTAGTTTCCTTTGTGGTTACCTTAATATTGACCCCTGTTTTTTCTAAGTTTATACCAATCTTTTATTTCTTTATATCACCTTGACTTCCTCTCCATATGAAAAATCTATGTCTACATTTTCTAAGTTCCTCTTTTTTGTTTTAATGTTGTCATCTTTTACATATTGACATATGTTTCCCTATTTTCAGTGTTTTAGCTTTGATTTACTTCTGTGTCTTCCGTATCTGGGTTGATATCTGATTCTCTGTCCTGTGTTCTAGTCTTGGGTTGTTATCTGATGTTACTGATTTTCTAACCAGAGGACTCCCTTTAGTATTTCTTATAATTTTGTTTTGGTTTGTGCAAATTCCGTAAACTTCTGTTTATCTGGAAATACCCTAATTTTGCCAGCATATTTGAGAGACAGTTTTGCTGGATATATAATTCTTGGCTGGCAGATTTTTTCCTTGAAGGCTTTATATATGTCATCCCATTGCCCTCTTGCCTGCATGGTTTCTGCTGAGTAGTCCGAGCTTATTCTTACTGACTCTCTTTTGTAGATGACTTTTCGTTTATCCCTAGCCGCTCTTAAAATTCTCTCTTTATCTTTGGTTTTGGCAAGTTTGATTATAATATGTCTTGGTGACTTTCTTTTGGGATCTACCTTATGTGGGGTTCGATGATCATCTTGGGTAGATATCTTGTCATCTTTCATGGTATCAGGGAAGTTTTCTGCCAGCAAATCTTCAGCAGTTCTCTCTGTATTTTCTGTTATCCCCCCGTTCTGGTATTCCAATCACCTGTAGGTTATTCCTCTTGGTAGAGTACCACATAATTCTTAGGGTTTCTTGATTTTTTTAAATACTTTTATCTGATTTTTCCTCAAATAAGTTGGTGTCAAGTGCTTCATCTTCAATCTCACTAATTCTGACTTCCATTGCCTCAATTCTGCTCCTATGAGTTTCTGTTGAGTTGTCTAATTCTGAAATTTTATTGTTAATCTTCTGGATTTCTGATTTTTGTCTCTCTATGGATTCTTGCGGCCTGTTAAATTTGTCATTATGCTCTTCTCTAATCTTTTTAATTTCCTCTGTTGCATGTTCTGCGTTTTGCTTAATTTCCTTCCTTATTTCTTGAAGAGTTCTGTGTATTAATCTTTTGTATTCTGCCTCTGGTAATTCCAAGAAATTTTCCTCTTCTGGGAAATTTCTAGATTCTTTATTTTGGGAGCTTACTGAAGCCATCATGGATTGCCTGTTTATGTGATTTGATATTGACTATTGTCTCTGAGCCATCAATAAGTCATTATATTTATTTATTTTATGTTTGCTTACTGTGTCCTAGCTTCTTGTTTTGTTGTGATATGCCCAAATAGGCTGCTCGTATGACTAGTTTGATTATTGGCACTTTTGAAGCTCTAATGTCCTGTCACCAGGTGGGTAGATCTGTTACTAGGTACGTGAGCTCAGGAGTCTGCCCACTCCTCCTGTATGGATTAAGCTCAGGTGCCCAGGTAGATGGCTACCAAGTGTGTGGTGTAAGCTCTCAGCTACAGTCCTAGACAGGCATGGGTGATTGGTGTTGGCAGAGGCCTCTGGCTGCAGCAGGGGAACACACGCTGAGCAAGGCAGGGGGCTGACAGCCGCCACCTAGTGTCCAAGAGGAAGGCGTGTCCCTGTTCCCTAGAGCGTGTAGGTGGGTGGGTCTTGCAGTTGGACTGTGCGCACCTAATGCTGTTGGCTGTAAGGGCTGGGGTGCACCTCTTATTCATGGGCCCCAACTGCAGGTGGCTAGGTGAAGTGGGTAGAGCCACCAGTGTTCAGGCCCCTTATGTGGGTAGGTGAAGACCTGCTTAACGGGCAGAGCAGTGTCAAATATCAAGAACCTGCCACTTCACAGTTAGACTTCCGGTATATACCCTGTTACACCGCAGTAATGAGGGCCTGCGCTGTTGAAATTGGCCTACAGAAGTCTATGCAGGGAGAAAGGCGCTCAAAGTCCGTGGGTCCCTTATGCCTGTGCCTAGGCAAAGGAACTGTGCCTACCCTGGGTTCCTGGCTTAGCAGAGCCAGCAGTTTAGTTTTACCCCTGTTTGTTAATTTGTTCACTGTCCAAGGCAGAGAGAATGGCTCCGGGCGTGTGATGGATCCTACTTCCGGCCCAGGGGACTTGGCAATTGCTGAAGCCGGTCCAGGACCCAGTGCAGAGCAGGGAGTGGGGAGGTAAATGGGAGAGAGGTTTTTCCCTAAGGGGGGTGTTTTTGATCCACGCAGTAAGCCGTACGCAAGTACATATCTTTCACTGGTAAGGACTGCTTCACACTGGTTCTGGATGGCTGTGTAGACTCTCTGGTGCTGGGTCTCTCCTGGTGCAGAAAACGCACCTCCTGAGCACAGTTGCTTGCCTGCCTCATCGCTTACCCACGAGCTGCTCAGGCCTGCAGGGCTCAGGCTCTCACTGGTTCAGGTCTGGCAACTCCTTGCTGCTTCTGAAATGTCTCTCCCTTCCCCTGCCACTCAGTCCGGTTCCTCAGCTCTGCCTTTGATGTTGAAGGCTCCCAGATTGCCATATATAATCGAATCACTTGTTTTTTCGGGTCTTTGTTATAAGAGGGTCCACCAGAAGCGTGTGACTACTCCGCCATCTTGACCCCACTTCTGGTTGTTTTTTTTTTAATAATAAAAGGTAAGGAACCCTAGTGGTGCAACAGTTAAGCACTCTGCTGCTAACTGAAAGGCTGGAGGTTCAAACCCACCCAGCGGCTCCACAGGAAAAGAACCTGGCAATCTGCTCCTGTAAAGACTGCAGCGTAGAAAACTGTATCAGGCAGTTCTGCCCTGTCATATGGGGTCGCTGTGAGTCCAGGATCTACCTGAATAGCACCTAATGACAACAACGTAATAGAAACAGTCCCACTGTCTCACTTCTTGTTACATACCAAGTTCTGTTTTTTAAGTTTCTTGGCCTCTACTAGACTGTAAACTCTTAAAGGACAGAAGTCTTATTTATTTTTGTATTACCAGTGCCTAATCAGTACCTGCCACATGAGTTAATTGGTATCACATGATTTTTCTTCCTCAGCTCCTTAATTTAGCACTAATGTTGGTGTGTAAACTTAAAAATAAATAAAAAATCCTAGTACCACTGTTCTTTCCTTTCCTCTATCTATTTTAACTAGAACAGAGAACAAGTCTTCAGTTTTCCAGTAACTCAAGCTGAAAGGACGCTTTGGCATCTTTATCAACCTTAGTTCAATCATTATGTGCTCAGAGAACTTTCCTTGTTTGTTTATATAGCAACAGCCCTAGAGCCACGTACTTAATATACACATAATCAAGAAATGGTTCTTTCATTCTTTGAGTCTCAGTTTTCCTTTGTAAATATTTTTTCTAATCAGTTAAAAATTAGTAAAAGTAGTATGACTTTGTGGGGAGAGGGATGCCCCTAGGCTAGCAGAAGTAGTTAGATTTATTTACTCTGGTGTTTTTGGGTTGATTGCAACCTTACTGATGCAGTCGGTGGTGGAGTACTAACCTGTCCCACTAGAGGTCACCAAGTACCTTCTTTTAGAAGTGTAAAGAGGTGATACTGAAAAGATTAGAACAGATTTATACTAAAACTGGAGAAAAGAAACATCTGTACTTTGAATGTAAAGGAAAGTAATTTTTGTTTTCTTTGCAAGGCCATGGAGATAGCATCTCAAAGGACCAACGAAGAAAGGTCCAGCCAAGACCACGTTGATGAAGAAGTAAGATTTCTTGTCTCTTCACATCCTTGGGAAACACTTGTATTTTGAAGCCCCCTGCTTTTTTTTTTTTAATTGTGTGTTAGGTGAAAGTTTACAGCTCAAGTTAATTTCTCATTCAAAAATTTATACATGTATTTTTTTGTGACATTGGTTGCAGTCCCCACAATGTGATAGCACCCTCCCCCTTTTCACCCTGGGAGGGCTTTTTTTATATTGCTTTTGGCATAAACTTGATTTTAATAGATAAGCAGTATTTTTAAAGTGATGATAATGTTTCTTTGAAACTTCATATGTTACACAGTTTGACTGAGCCAAGTTGTATAATTTACATTTCATCGCATCATTCCACCCAGTAACCTATTAGCCCTAGATGAACAAAATTTTTTTAAAAAGCCTGTTGGAACTTAAGAGTCTCTGGGTGGAGCAAATGGTTAAGCACTGGGCTTAACTGAAAGGTTGGCGGTTCCAACCCACCCAGAGGCACCTTGAAAGAATGGCCTGGGAATCTGCTTGCGAAAGGTCATAGCCATGAAAACCTTTGTTTTTTTAATCGGGATATATGATTCAAGAAGGAAAAGCCTGTTTTTAATTTGCAAATGTGAATTTTTAAATGATTTACATTTTGATTTCAGTAGCATTGTAGAATTCAAATATTTATGCTTTGGTGAAAAATAAAACCATTTTAGTCTAGGGAGTCATAGCATATTTTTTGTGAAGGACCCATAGTAGACTTTTTTTTTTTCCTCACAGCTATTAGTGTGATGGAGGAATATGAGATGCCCTATATTCATCAGCACTTCTCAGCCTCTTTTACTGTAGCAACATAGTAAATGACGTTCCCGTGCAAGAACATGTTCCTATCCGTGGAAGGCATATCCAGAGAATGCTTGCTATCTGCAGCTCCATCCCCTTCTCTCCTACTCAAAAGCTTTTTGGAAAGCAAATGAGGGGAGAGAGAAGTGTTATTCTAAGGATAACTTTGAATCAGCTGTATAATTTTTTTTCTGTAAGATAATTCATCTACAAAATGTAGTGCTTTCTTGTCAGTAACAAATTACTTCTGGTATACGCACACAGTAGTCACACGCTGATGTGTGCAGACAAGATCGCAGAACATCACTGTGGTAGATGATGGTGATAGGTTCCTGTATGGGCTGAAGTGCAGAGTGAGTGTGAGAAGTGTGTGAACAACAATCACAACCTTGCTTTTCCTCTGTATCATGGTTAGGTGTTTAAGCGAGCGTATATTCCTAGAACCTTGAATGAGGTGAAAAATTACGAGAGGGATCTGGATATAATGATGAAGTTGAAGGAAGAGGACATGGCCATGAATGCCCAACAAGACAATGTGAGTACCTTGGTTTGCACACAGCAAGCGAGTTTACAAAGGAATGAGACTGTCCCAAACCTGTTGGGCCTTGTAAAGCCCTCTAAGCTTGAATCTTGGCTTCTGGTCTGCTGAGATGGCTGGTTCCCTGTGTTAACATGTGCTCTCTGCACGTTGGGTGTGAAGGGAATTCACTGGTATTTATGAGAACGTGTAACACATTTGAATGAGTCCAAAAGACTGTAATTACAGAAAAAGGAAGATTTTTATAGAAGTCTAGACTATAAACAGTTATTATACTAGATCCGTTAATATACTTCAGGGGCTGGCAAAGTTTTTTTTAAAGAGCCAGATAGTAAATATTTAAGGCTTTGCAGGCCAAGTAGCAAAATGGAGGCTATTGTGTAGATGCTTATATAAAGAAAACAAATTTCTACAGGGCTTTTATTAATGAAATTTAAAATATTTGATAATTGACATTTTATAATACAGATCTAATGAGAAGAATGGAATTATTTTTGGGGGAGTGGGGAATAACGTTTCATTTAATTGAAGTTCAGAGTTAGTGTTCCCTATCATATTGATGGCAGATTTCTGTAAGAACTGGTCGTAGATCACCAAACCCAAAACCAAACTCGTTGCCATCGAGTTGATTCCGACTGATAGTGACCCTATAGAACAGAGTAGAACTGCTCCACAGGGTTTCCAAGGAGCAGCTGGTGGATTCGAACTGCTGACCTTTTGGTTAGCAGCCTGAGCTCTTAACCACTGCGCCACCAGGGTTCCTCTTACATCACAGGCAGTACAAAAACAGTGAGTTGGATGTGGCCTGTGGCCGTAGCTTGCTGATCCGTGGTACTCTTGGTGGACAAGAATAACACTCATATTATACGCTTCCTGTGTTATTAGAGAAATTTTAGTTGCTTTTTATAATGCCTGAAGTGATCATAAGATACTGTATTAACGTATATTTCACTGTCTAGTTTTATGTTGATTCTTGCTTTTTTTCATTTTGGTTACAAGATTCTATACCAAACTGTAACAGGATTGAAGAAAGATTTGTCAGGAGTTCAGAAGGTAGGAAGAATGTGTGTTACTGTTCATTTCTGTGGAAACTTCTAAAGGGTATAAAACTTTCTTAGTGAAAAGAATTATTAAAATTAAATTAACAGTATTTTATATTAATATTAAATATAAATACTTTCAAAGTTTATAGACATTTCTAGAAAGGCAACAAAAGAGCTTTTCCTCTTTTTGTGTTAATTCTTTCTAATCACAAGACTGAAGTGTGGACATTTCTGATTTATTTTTCATTCCATCTGAATTGTTCTGTTGTTGCAGGGGAGACATTTATCCTTTTTGTGTCCTGGTCTTCATTTGTGAAGTTATTAATGATAACCATGTGTTTCTTGATGTCTTTTACAACCAGCTTTTAAAAACAATGTGTATAGTCCCACGTCAGAATGTCGCTCGTTGAAGCGCAGTCTCATGGGTTCAGTAGTGTTACTGAGCTGGATCTTTCTAGAGTTGTTTTTTTGTATAACAGTCTTGTTTTGTTTTACATTTTAAAAGGGCAAGGATTAAGTAATTCTAACTGAGCCAATAATAAAGTCTGTTATTCTTTTAATTTGCTTATTTAAAGGCTTAAATGAGGGGTCGTATAGTTAGCTTTTTGAAAATTTACTGTCTTGGGGAAGAATTGAATTGGGGGGTTCCAGTGTTCTGCATTTCTGTAACAGTCGTTATAGGGCAGTTGTGTTTTGAATTCCAGAGCATGAAGATTGTATTGCCAGTGGGTAGGAAAGCTTTTTTTGGATAATTGCTTTTTTTGTGTGTGATAAAATATATATAACGTGAAAACAATTGAACTGTTTTTAAGCGTACAAGTCAGTGGCGTTAATTACATTCACAGTGTTGTGCAACCATCAACACCATCTATTTCTAAAACTGTCATCACCCCAAACAAAAACTCTGTACCCATTCAGCAGTAAGTCTCCCTTCGCCTCCCCCTATCCCCTGGTGACCTCTAATCTACTCTATGTATTTGCCTGTTCTAGATACTTCATACAAGTGGGATCATACAGTATTTGTCCTAATTGTTTATTTCTATCTGTATTTCACATCCTTCTAACTCCCAACCCAACCTTACTGATCTACTGAAAGAAGCAGAACTGTTTTGTGGTTGATCTGGGTCACCCAAATAAAGCCCTAGTCCCTTTATTTGGGTGTCTACTCGAACCTTACTGTGATGGCTGCTTCCCAGCTTCCTCCCTGATGTTGATTCTGCTTTGGTGTTATCTTTCAAACTATGTCTGCAAGGCCAAAATCTGAATTCTGACATTAACTCTTTCAATAATAATAAATGTCTGATTGGCTTAGAATAACTTGATTCTAATGTTATATAACGTAATATCTTCAAGGTCCCTGCACTCCTAGAAAATCAGATTACGGAAACGACTTGTTCTGATTCAGAAGATGCTGGAAGCTCTGAGTGCTCTGATGCAGACTCTGAAGAGCAGGGAGACCATGCCTGCTCCAAGAAGCACACCACTGACCCTGAACTTGATAAAAAGGTTAGCCTGCAACTTAAATTCCCTTTTTCTTCAACATGGCAGTAAAGCCACTCTAATTTCTTTTTGCTCAGGCATCTAACTAGATTATGATGACTGAAAACATTATTTATTTATAAATACTCCTAATCTCAGTTTTGGAGCACTGATGATGAAATGGTTAAGAACTCGGCTGCTAACCAAAAGTTCAGCAGTTCGAATTCACTAGCCACCCCTTGGGAACCCTATGAGGTAGTTCTCCTCTGTCTTATGGGGTCACTATGAGTTGGAATCAACTTGACAGCAATGGGTTTGGTTTGGTTTTGGTTTAATCTTAGTTTTAAGGAGCCCTGGTGGTGCAATGGTTAGGTGCATGGCTGCTAACTGAAAGACTGATGATTTGAACCCATCAGCAGCTCCACAGGAGAAAAACCTGGTGATACCCTCCCATGAAGATTACAGCCTAGGAAACCCTATGGGGCAGTTCTCCTGTGTCCTGTAGGGTCGCTGTGAGTCGGAATCAACTTGATGGCACACAACAACAGCAAACCAATCTTAGTTTTAATTCCTAAGTGTTAACATTGCTTTTGGTGGTAGCATTATATTTTGGTAGATTTGACTCCTATTAGGAGCTCTTATGGCACTGCATAGAGATAAGACACATTAAATTCAGTACATTGATTAAAGATGGTCATGGTTCACATGAAGTAAAAATGATGTTAGAGTTGACTCATGGTGAAATACTGAAGAACCAATTATTCTTCCATGTTTGTTTTATCCCTTAAACCTTATAAAGTTTGTATTCTAAGAGACATATTCAACTCGCTAGTACACTTTGTCTCTACTAGAAACAAATATTTTGTCTCCTTCCAACGTTTGTTTTTCTTAGAATATGGAACTTCTAAAGAAAAGTAGTTGCAAACCATTTAGTAACATCCTCAGGGATATTTCTTTTGGCTGTCTTCAGATTTCTATAAAGAGAGCTCAAAGACCATTTCCCCCACCAAACCATCATCATTTTCATTTTTTCATGTTATACTCCACTTTTCCCCTTTTATGTATATATTTTTATTTTGTTGTAATAATAGTATATGAAGACTCTGTTAATAAAATTTTATTTTTACAGGAAAGGAAAAAGATGGTCAAGGAAGCCCAGAGAGAGAAAAGAAAAAACAAAATCCCTAAACATGTTAAGAAAAGAAAGGAGAAGACAGCCAAGATGAAGAAAGGCAGATAAAGTCAGAACTATGTTGTGTGCAGCCATTTCCCATCGGTTACTCTTGTTACCCGAACCTCTGAGCTGCATCTGGAAGATTGGTCATTGATTTTAACCCAATCGTCTATGAAGACTGATTCCACTGTTTTCATGTAATTATGTAAAAAGCTTTAAGCTCTACTACCTAGGTCCAGTCAGCGGCTCTGTCTGGTATTAATGGAGCATTTATTTAAGCTACTATTTTAATGAAGAACTTTATACATTTTTATTTTTATATACTTTTTTCTGCTACAAATATTTCTTACGAAGCATCATCAACATTTAAATGTAGTGGTCTTCCATAAGCTTTACGTAAGTGTGAAGGTGCTTTGGACAAACTTAGGAAAATTGGTTTTGTTTTGTTTGTACATGCCAAAGACCCGTCTGAAATCATTTGATTTTTAAGACCATGGTTTATATGAAAAGGAGCTTCACTTACAGAAGAATTCCATTGGCTGTAGATGGGCTCATTCATGCAACTCTGCCCTTGTGTGCATTGAGGATCATTTGTAATACACTTACCTTTCATCTTTAATATACTTTTTTGAGCTAAGACTTCCCAGCTCATAAGCTGTTTCACATTCCTGTATGGTTTTTTAGAACCATTTGGCATGTTCATTCATTCATCACATATTTGAGTGTTTTAAGTGCCGAGGGGATACAAGAGTGAAAAGAAGTACACAAAAGTCACTACCTTTGGGTAGTTTACATTTTAGCAAAGAGACATCTTCAGACATTAAACAAAGTAAGTAAATGAACAGTGTGTCAGCAGGTTATAGATTCTGTGGAGAGAAATAATGCAGAGAAGAGAGAATGCCTGGGGAGGTGAGGGTTTGCAGTTTTTAAATAGAGTTCTCAGAAAAGCCACACTGAGGTGATACTTGAGCAAATGCTTGAAGAAGGTGAGCCATGTGCATTTCAGGAGGGAAGAGCATTCCAGGCCACGTAAACAGCGAGTACAAAGGCCCTGAGGCAGAAATGTGCCTGACATGTTCCAGAAATGAGGCTGAAGCATCATAGTCAAGGGTAAAAGTAGTAGAGAGATCGGATAGTGCAGGGCCTTCTCGGTCTTTGAGTGAGATGGGCAGGTGTTGGAGGGTTTTGAGCAGAGGAATAATATGATCTGACTTGTGTTTTAAACGGATCACTCTGGCCTCTGGAGAACTGACTAGGAAGCAAGACCGGAAGACCAGTTGGGTGTTTATTGTAATCCAAGTGAGTGATGATGATGGCTTGGTCTAGGATGGTAGCAGTGGAATTGGAAAGAAGGGGCTGAATTTAGATGTAACCCAAAGGTAGAGAATGTGGATACGCTAAGGGAATATATGAGGAGTGTGAGAAAGAGTAAAGGTGACTTCAAGGCTTGTGACCTAAGCCTTTGAAAGGATGGAGTTGCCACTTACTGTGATGGGAGAGAATGTGGGTGGGAGAGGTTTGGGGGTAGGAGGGTGAAAAAAAACATAGCAACTTAGCACAAATGTTGAAAGAATCATTCATTTTTTATTTTTATTTTTACCATATACTTTATACTAGAAATAGTTGTTTTAGCCATTGCATTCAGAAATGATTTCTATAAATAAGTCCTTACTTTCTACCTAAACTGAAGTTTGGATCTGCTTGAGAGTTGGTGGGGGCATTGGGAGGAATTAACTCAGCTTTTAAAATTATAAGTCAAATTTTATTGTTTATATCCTCCCTCACCGACTTTAAAAAAGTTAAAGTACAAAATACAGTTTCAATAAAAACGAAAGTAGCCCCCTTCAGAATATTTTACAACTAACACAACAAGACAAAAAGCAAAAACAGGCTTAGCAATTATGTACACATTAGGGGTTTTGTATTTGTTTTGGTCTTACTCACTGACATCAGTAGGTCAGGCTCCTCAGAGCTATCTCTTGGTGAATCTAATGCAATTTCTAAGTTTGGAATCAATTCCATTTGGGCAGAATTAGCGGTAGCACAATTAGGGACAGTTAATTCTCTTCCATTGCTGCCAGGCAGAGTGGCTTGTAAAGCGTCGAGGTTTGGGGGCTGTAGGATGATTTTAATCTGAGAATGTTCTGAGACCACTTGCTGATGTGATTGCTTCCCTATTTGGATCACTATTTGGGAGAAGTAGCCTATTAGGCAAGTGTACAGGGCTGTTTGCTGACCCTGGTTGCAAATTGAATTTTGATTGTTTGACAGATTTTATGTTAATGGATTATTGGCTCCATGGTTATATTCCATTAGGAGAGAGGAGGTTTTTGGTCTCTTGGCCCAAAGCCAGGGACATAATTTTGTCAATTGTCAATGTATCTGATTTTCTATCATATTTTGTTAATTTTTGAATCCTTCCAAATAACATAGACGTTTCTTAAAGTTGACTGAGAAATCTGGATACTTTAGTTTGAAGCACAAAATCACAGCTACATCCTATGCCGCTGTAGTTCTCATTCTTCCTTTGATGGAGCAGTTTAGGAACATCATCAGCCCGAGGAGAAGCCCAGAAGTTCCAATATTTGAGGGTAGTCTTTTGAGTGAAGAGGTAGGAACTGTGGCAGCTATTTGCCTAGGTCTGATCAAATATCATCCCTGGTTCATGGCTGACATCAAGTTTTCTTCATTTCTATCTGTGACTACCTTTATGGAGATTAATTCAAGATGTTGAAAACTTTATAGTTTGATACTGAGTTGTTTGAGAAGATACCTGCTTTTCATGAGTGTCTATTTAATTCAGTGCAAATAGATTGCTGATTCTTGGCTGTGGGGCTCTCCTGCTTTGGGGCTGTGATGTCATCAATCCTTTGGCTCAGAAAATGAAAGAAGAGATTAGATAAATGATTCTTTTAGAAGCTGGTGAAGGAACATCTCGAATATCATGGGCTCTGAATTGATACTTCTAAAAAATTTATTTTCAAAAGTTTGACAACTTTTCAAATTTTCAGTTTGTCAGTAAACAAACAAAAAAAAAAGCCACTGCCGTTGAGTCAATTCCAACTCAGCGACCCTATAGGACAGTAGAACTGCCCCATAAACATAGGGTTACCAAGGATGTAAATCTTTACAGAAGCAGACTGCCACATCTTTGTCCCTACAGGTTCTGAAAATCAGGTTCTAGTGGATGCAGTTAGAGAATTTGTATCTTGAACAAATGCAGATAAATTTTTTTATTTTGCCAGATCTGATCCTTGTTTTAAAATATGTCACCTCAGTGAGACTATCCTGACCACTATTTGAAATTGTGGTCTGCTCCTTCCCTACCATCCCCACACGCCTTATTACCATTAAAGAAAAATAATGATTTTTCTATAACTCTTATAACAAACGAAATAAATTGACATACTGAATTTACTTATTTATATATCGTGTGTCTCATCCTCCAACCTCTGACTAGAATGTAAGCTCCTAAGGGCAGAGATTTTTGTCTTTGTTTGGTTTTGTATCCCAGCGCCTATGGTGGTACCTGAAACATGGTAAACACTGAATGAATGTTTAATGATTGTATGTTGTGCTTCTTAAAGATGAGGCTGTTACATGAATTAGACACACGCATCACATTCATAAAAATGAAAACGAAGAGTTGATGTGGATTATTTATGCCCTCTAGTTCTCTCCTGTGACCAGTGGTGTGCATTTTAAGATCACCCACCGTAAGTATGTCTAGGCTGGTGTCCTCACCCTCCTACAGGTTTGTCACCAAACCCTGGGCTTTGGTACAGCCCTCAAGCCAATGGAACAGATGCATTTTAATAAACTAAGAAACAGAGTAAGCTGATTATTATTTTTGAATTTGACCATATGAGGTCATTTGGCTGAGTATTATCCAAAGTGCTCAGCCAAAACAGCGGACTGACTAGGAGTCACTCAGCTTTAAATCACCACAGTCAGTGTGTGAGGAGGTGGGAGGCTTTGTGAAACCAAGGCTTATACTCACACATTTCTACATCTGTTCCCAAGTGCTGGAGACTGAAATTTTAAAGATAATCTTGATTTCAGGGGATGGTTCTGAGTTTAGACAAGACCTCTGCTAGCTCGAAGCTGACCGGTTCCCCCTGTGAAGCAGCATCACGATCCTTCCCATGCACGGGGCATAGCATATTACTCCAGCTCAGGGGATTGGTATAGTTTTTCACTGAATAATACCAATATTTGGCTGTAATGTTGGGTAGTCGTTCTCCTGCTTCAGCATATAAGCATTGTCAAGTCTTTCTCAAGGGGATGGGGGACCTAGATCCTTCACTTCGCTGTTTCTGGTAACCACCTCTGGGACTGGGTAAGTCATTTTCCTTTTAGGGGAATTCCTCATTTGTGAATTGAGGGAATTTTACCAGATGGTCATAAAATTTCTTTTTTAAAATTCTGTTATTTTTTTTAAAAGTGTATCAGAGCAGTGATTTAGGAAAGACCTTTCCAACTCCAAGGAACCATGTTGGAACTACATCTCTTAAAAGAGTTTGCTTCTTAAAAATATTGTACCAAAACTCAAAAACCCATTACCATCGAGTTGATTCCAACTCAGTGACCCTATGGGACAGAAAACTGCCCCACAGGGTTTCCAAGGCTGTAATCTTTACAGAAACAGACTGCCACATCTTTCTTCCACAGAGTGGTTGGTGGGTTTGAACTGCCGACCTTCTGGTTAGTAGCTGAGTGCTTAACCAGTGTGCCACGAGGACTCTTTAAAAATATTATGAATGGATTTATGTACCAGTTATCACTATTACTAGTTGGGTAATAGGTACATGGGATGTCATTATACTATTTCTGTATATAAAAATTATGTAAGAAATTGAAAAAAAATGTTAACCACTTAAAACAACCTTTTCTCTGCTTGCTGTGTTAGATTTTGTGATAGGAATTCATTGTTCTTGCAGTAATTGTCGATCCTCTAGTGGGAGGTGTACTCTTTTTTTTTTTAGTTTTATTGTGCTTTAAGTGAAAGTTTTACAATTCAAGTTAGTCTCTCACACAAAAATTTACACCTACATTGTCATGTGACGCTAGTTGCTCTCCTTATTCTGTGTCAGTGCACTCTTCCTTTCCACCCCGGATTTCCCATGTCCATTCAACCAGCTCCTGATCTTCTCTGCCTTCTCATCTCACCTCTGGACAGGAGCCGCCCATTTAGTCTCATGTATCTACTTGACCTAAGAAGCACACTCTTCATGAGTATCATTTTATCTCCCATAGTCCAGTCTGATCTTCGTCTGAAAAGTTAGCCTTGGGAATGGTTTTAGTTTTGGGCTAACAGAATCTGGGGGCCATGTCATCCAGGGTCCCTCCAGTCTCAATCAAACCATTAAGTCTGGTCTTTTAACTAGAATTTGAGTTCTGCACCCTACTTTTCTCCTGCTCTGTCAGGGACTCTTGTGTTCCCTGTCAGGGTCATCATTGGTGGTAGCCAGGCACCATATTGTTCTTCTTGCATGCTTTTAAGACCCCAGACGCCAGTCACCAAAGTGGGATGTAGAACATTTTCTTAATAAACTTTGTTATGCCAATTGACCTAGATGTCCCCTGAAACCATGGTCCCCAACCCCTGTCCCTGCTACTCTGTCCATTGAAGTGTTTGCTTGTATTCAGGAAACTTCTTAGCTTTGGTTTAGTCCAGTTATGCTGAGTTCCCCTATAGTGTGTGCTGTCCTTCCCTTCACCTAAGATGATTCTGGACTACTTTCTAGTTAATGAATACCCCTCTCCCTCCCTCCCCACCTTCGTAACCATCAAAGAATGTTTTCTTCAGTGTTTAAACCTTTTCTTGAGTTCTTACAATAGTGGTCCTATACAATATTTGTCCTTTTGCAACTGACTAAATTCACTCAGCATAATACCTTCTAGATTTCTCCATGTTATGTTTCACGGATTCATCGTTCTTTATCGTTGCGTAGTATTCCATTGTGTGAATGTATCATAATTTGTTTATCCATTAGTCCATCGATGGGCACCTAGGTTTCCATCTTTTTGCTATTGTGAACAGTGCTGCAATGAACATGGGTGTGATGGCTCTTACTTCCCTAGGATATATTCCAAGGAGTGGGATTGCTGGATTGTGTGGTACTTCTATTTCTAGCTTTTTAAGGAAGTGCCAAATTGATTTCCAAAGTGGTTGTACCATTTTACATTCCCACCAACAGTGTATAAGTGTTCCAGTCTTTCCACAGTCTCTCCAGCATTTATTATTTTGTGTTTTTTGGATTAATGCTAGCCTTGTTAGGGTGAGATGGTATCTCATTGTAGTTTTGATTTACATTTCTCTAATGGCTAATGACGTGAGCATTTCCTCATGTATCTGTTTGGTGGGGAGGTGCACTCTTGAGTTCTAATTACTAATACGTCATATAAGCAGCATGAAGGTGGGTAGGCTGTTGATTCCCCTAATGATAAGACTAGGAGTCCTGGTGGCAACAGTTTGACTGACACTTGGCTGCTAACTGAAAGGTTGGCGGGTCGAACCCTCCCTGTGGCTCCACAGGAGAAAGACCTGCTTCTCTACAGATTACAACCTAGAAAACCCTATGGGGCAGTTCTCTGTCACATGGGGTTGCTATGAGTTGGAATCAACTTGAGGGCACCTGACGACAACAGCAGCAATGATAAGACTGCATGGGATGCACAGGAACGGTCAAGGCCATCTCGTTAAAAGAGGATTGAATGGACTGATCCTGGTCCTGGTTGGGTTGTGGTTTGGTGGTTGATTTTTAAATTAATCCTCAGTAAAGGATTCCTTGATAACATTTTCCAGTAGGTGCAGCTCATATAATCAGGAATTGTGTGTTGGTTTTATTTAAAATAATAAACGTACTTCAATAAAAGAATACCAACAACAAAAAGCCTTCTCAAGGGCCTAGACTGAGTCTGCTATGCTGTAACTTGCTGTGAGACTCCATCTTTCTGGCCTCAGTTTCCTCATTTATAAAATGAACATTGATGTTGGAGTGATAAAGTCTCAGTCTTTCTAGAGCTGAACTGTTTATTATGGTAGCCACTAGCCACATATAGGAGCGTTGGTGGCACGGTGGTTAAGAGCTTGGCTGCTAACCAAAAGGTCAGCAGTTCAGATCCACCAGCTGCTCCTTGGAAACCTTAATGGGGGAGTTCTACTCTGTCCTGTAGGGTTGCTATGAGTCGGAATTGACTTGATGGCAGCGGGTTTGGTTTTTGTTTTTTTAGTCACATATAACTACTGAGCACTTGAAAAGTGACTAGTCTGACTTGTAAGTGTAAAACACACACCAGACTTACTATGAAACAAAGAATGTAAAGTATTTTAATAGTTACTCAATGTTGATTACATAATAAATGATAATATTTTGCAGCTATTGGGTCAAATAAAATATTAAAATTAAATACACCTATTTTTACTTGTTTGTGGACTGTAAACAATTTTAAATTACATATCTGGATATGTGGTATGCGGATAGAAAAACAAAGAAAGGAAGGAGCAAATTTCCTAAACTGTCTAAGCCAAACGTCTACAGTATAAGTTTTTTTTTAGTTCATAGTTTTTATTTATTATTGCTGAAGGATAAGGCAACAAAAAGGTAAAGTCACTATTCTAACTGGTTTAAATGCAGACAATACATACAGTGTATGGTGTGATGGATCTCTTATGTGGCCTTTCTCACCATGGTCTTGTAACTCCCACCCAAGTGATTGAGTGGGGCTGTGCAAATAAGATAATTGTGGCCCACCAAAGGGACTGCTCAGTTTTGCCATTCCACTAGGCTTAAAAGAGAGCCAATTCCAGAGCAGAGAGAGGATACCACCACCAAGGAAGAAGAACCAGGAGTAGAATGCATCTTTTGGACCTGGGATTCCTTCACTGAGACCCTCCTAGACCCAGGAGACAGAGCTCTAACGCGGAAGACGGCAGGACAACGAGAAGCAGCCACCGAGGCAGCGGAACCAGGAGACCAGCAGGAGACGGCACAGTGGGCTTCCTGGCCCACTGAGCTAGAAAGCTGAGTGCCTT